CTGGGGCCAGGACCAGAGAGGGTCAAAAGGGCCAGGGGCCCACCACGAGGGACGCCCAAGAACCAGGGGTCTGGAGTCCCGACTGGCCTGGAGGTGGGCCAGGGCCAGTTAGCTGAAGGTCCCGGGGGGACCACACCCGAGAGGGAAAAATGGCTTCGGGGGGGCTAGTAGCCCGGATGAAGGCAGAGAGGCCACCTGATCAGGAGGGATCATAGGGGGGTCCTGTTTAGAAGATGCTGAGGCCCAGTGTGGGGGGCTGGAAGAGAGATGAACACCGTGATGCCATCTGCGAGGCTTGGGCTGTGGTATTAGGGGAGGTCGGAGCTGCAGAGCGCCCCCTGGCATTGGGGCATTACAATGGACAGCCTCCCACTTAATTATCATCAAAGGCGTGGCGGGCGAGATAGGCGGGCGGTTGCCCACCAGACAGGAGGTGGGCCATGGAGATCGGCCCCGGGGAGCCCCCTGTCACAGTGGTGCATTGGCCGGGAAGCATAGGCCGTGCACGGGGAAAGAACCCGTGTCCCTGAGAAGGGAGACGAACCTTATGGCTATTTACAGATAGGCGAGGTAGTGAGACCGGGGGGGGCTTTCGAAGATGAGCCCAGGTCAAAGCGAAGACTGCCGTTAGAAAGATATAGAAAGAAAGACATTGGGTCTAGTCTAGGAACAAGAGTAGAATCATGGCAGAAAGTGAGGACATGGAGAGCCTGAAACAAGAGAATTTCACCTGGCTATTAAGAGTGAGTGAATTAGAAGAAGACATTGCGCGGCTAGAGTGAGAGCTGGAGGCAGCCCAATCCCAGAAGGAGCAGGCGAAGGCAAAGGCCACTGGATTGGAACAGTGGGTACAAGCAGGGAGAAAGGAAGGAGGTCCTAAAGGAATTAGGTGCCTGATTACAGCAGAGGCAGAGAGGACTCGAGCACTAGAGCGGCTCATGGCAGAAGAAGCCAAGAGGAGCAGATGGAGAGAAGAGAATCTGCAAGACATGCAGAGGGAAATGTCAGCATGGAGGGCAAGATATGATGCACTCCGAGAACGAAACCTATTCCTGGAAAAGGAGTTGGAGACGGGGGTGAGAGAGAACGAGGAGTTGCAGTCCCAACTGCAAAGTGTGGAGGTGGAAAAAGGACACCTGGAAGAACAGGTACGGTCCCTTGAAACCCACCTAGAAGCCAGCTCAGCTAGAGAGGCAGCAATTAACGCAGAAAGAAAGCAGTCGCAGCTGCAAAGGCTGACCCTAAGGCAGCAGATTCGGGCCTTGGAGGCAGCCAATAAAACCTTACGAGCAGCAGGTAGTCAGACGGCTACAAAGGGCCAAGACTCTAGGGAGCTGGAGGGTCCAGAGGTGACAAGTACAGCAACCCAAACGGGAGCAGTGCAGGAGGACCTGGAAGGCTGGCAAGAGCGTTGCTTACAAGCGGAATACCAGGTCAAAGAACTGCGAGAAAAGCTAATAGAGAGCTATGCCCAAGCAGAAAAAACAGGGAAAGCGATAACAAAGGAAATAGAGAAGGCCAGTCACGAGGCACTGCAAGATCAGAAGCGGTCCCTCGAAATGGAGGTAGAGGTTAAAACAAGGGAGTGTGTGGAGTTGCAGGCCCAGTGGTAAAGGGCAGAGGAGGAAAGGGACCAATGCAGGAAAGAGATACAGTCCCTGAAGGGCTTACTAAGAGAAAGTACAGCTGGTGAGACAGCCGCACCGCAGGAGAGCGAGCAGCGACTAGCATAGGTTGCCCAGGCACAGATGGAAAGACTAAGTGCAATAACTCGGCAAGAGAAGGAGACAATGACAACGGAACCTCCCGAAACAGAGGTGACAGCAATGGGGAAAGAGAGTGTTCCCACAATTGTCAAACACCTCGAGCGAGAGTGGAAGCGCTGGACCGAACAGTATGCAATAAAGCTGAATAGCTTGAGAGAGAGAGTGGAAGAACTCTCCAGAAGGAATGAGATGGGGGTACTCCCCATACCAAGTCCGGTCCAACAGAAAGGGGTAAAGGGAAGGAATATGGTAGCTGTGCAAGACAGCGAGGAGGCCCGAGGCAGCGACATAAACGGTGATCCATGCTGCTCTGACCGCACTAAAAAGGGAGGACAGTCAGGGCAGGAAGAAAGGCCTAGGCTGGAAAGGAGGGGCCAAAGCCCCAAGGAACTTAAGGGGGGAGGAGAGAGATGTTATAAACCCCACCTTAAGGACAAGACATCTAGGCTTGCGCAACGGCGGAGATCGGATCGAGTGCAGGCTACAGGCCCCGCTAACGAGGCTAGTAGGCCCTCAACAACAAGAGTAACCCGGTCAGAGAGAGGACAAAAGGGAAGAAAGAGGCCCTATGTATATGTTAATAATCTCCCAGGGCAAGTTAAATGGTGGGCCCTGAGGAGAATAGTTGAGGCCAGAGTTGGGGGGGAGTAGCCTTCGTGAAGGTGTATATAAGACCGGATGGGAGATCCACTGGTCAAGGAAAGATAGAATTCTGGGAAGAGGAAAATGTCCAGCGAGCACTTAAGATGCAGTGGGAGCTTTGGGGAAAGCTCAGAGACTGGCAAGAGACCAAGGGGACCTCAGAAAGGAGAGGTGATTATACGGAACACGGAGGAGGAGCCTTAAGACTGAGATGGAGAAAGGAAGACAAGATACCCCGAACAGGAGAGAACTGTTCTGCCAGGAAGAGTGTGGAGGCGGCAAAGGAGGAAAGGACAGAGGCCTAATTTGCACCCTACCAGGGAGGGGCTAGTGTGGAGGGACTACCTTTGGCAGGGTAACTCCCGAAAAATCCCACACGGTGCACCCTGGGGAAAAGGCGAGGAGGGGGTGCCTTAAAACTTCCGCCACTTGTTTGGAAAGCTCCAGGTGCCAGAAGAAAGGCCAGGAAGAGCCGCCGAGTCCGACCGAATGCGAAGAGAGTGAAGATCCGCCTCGGTGAGTCCGATCTTGGGGGGGAGGGGGGGAAGTGTGTTGCAGGGCACCTCAGTGCCTGCTCCTAAGGAGTAGAAACTGCCAGGGAGAGAGCGCCCTGGCAGAACATAACGAGCACAGCTGTGGGTTGCCAGGGCAACTAATGTGAGTCAGCTGGCCAGAAGGGGGCAGGGAGGCCGGGTGGGCGCCCCCCGGCCAGCAGCCAGAGGGGCAGGAGCTCCTGGAGCTAGGAAGTGAGAATCACAGGAACTGCTCTAGCTGAGTGAAGGATGGCAGCTCTGAGAGGTTTGAGCACCATGGTTCTGCCAGGAGGCTTTGCATTTAAGTTATAGCCAGGAGGCTCGAGTTTATGTTCGGCTTTGATATTACACCGGTGGTTTGGGCGAGGCTGTAGGGGTTGGAGGAGGCCTCATAGGGGGCTCACGGTAAAGTGAGGACCCTGGCGCCAGTGAGGGCGCACTAGGCCCTGAGAGTTGCAGGGCAGAGTTGTGGGGTCAGTTAAGCTCAGAGGAGTGGCTGAACCTCATAGGGACCCATAGGGGGTGGGACCCTAGCGCCAGTGAGGGCGCAACTTGCGGGGTGTGTAGACCACAGCCCCAGAGAGGGGCCGCTTTGAGATGCCCAGTGCGGGCACGACGAGCTCCAGAGAGAGGGGGCCATATTATTAGGAAGCCCAGTAGGGGCACAGCAAGCCCCAGAGAGAGGGGGCCATGTTATTAGGAAGCCCAGTGCGGGCGCAGTGAGCCTCTGAAACGGGGCTAGTGCTGCGGAAAACCCCGGAGCAGGGTGGAGTGCTGCAGTTGCCCCAGTGAGAGGGGGTAGTGGTGCGGGGAGCCCTGGGAGAAGGGGGTAGCAGCACGGTGGGCCTGAGAGTCAGGGGGTGTTACCGAGAAGTCCCCAGAGTGGGCACAGAGAGCCCCAGATGGGGGGGCTGTATTTAGAAGCCCGAGTTCAGGCGACACTACAGAGAAGGCCCCAGAGAGGGGCAACGTTGCAGGGAGGCCCCGAGTGGGCTCGGAGAGCCCAAGAGAGGGCAGCAAAGAGGAGGCCCCAGAGAGTGGGGTGAGAGTACATGGAGGAGGCTCGAGAGACAGGCCATGTACATATAGAGAGACATACCAGCGTCTATCCCGTCAGTGAGGCTTGGGCTGCGGTATTAGGGGAGGTCGGAGCCGCAGAGCGCCCCTGACATCGGGGCATTACAATGGGTAGCCTCCCGCTTAATTTCCATCTTAATGGAACCAATTATCATCAAAGGCATGGCGGGCGAGATAGGCGGGCGGTTGCCCAGAGACAGGTGGGCAGGCCGTGGAGATCGGCCCCGAGGAGGCCCCCTGTCACGCATACAAACACACACAGATTAATGTGACATGCCTGACCTGGCTGGGTTGATCAGCATGGACAGGCTGACACCCTCATATGCCAGGAATCAGTTCATTAAGGTAACAATAAAATGCAGTCAGACACAAGCACACAGGTAAATAGAATATCTCTGAATCCAGCTGGGTGTCCAGCTGACAGCATCATGAGCCAGCATTCAGTTCATTGGGGTATGTCTGAGCCAAACTGGGTCAATCAGCCTGTACAAGCTGATCCCCTTATGTGTCTCAAACTCGGCACGTCCCAATCTTTTGCCCTAACTGTCCTAGTAGTGGTAGCCTCTTGATGAGCAGACCCCACAGTATTTCTGGGCTTCACAGGGATCTTTGGCTTAGGTAAAAGAAGCATTGCTGCAGATCAAGTGGCGAAGGAGAAGTAGAGAAGGAAACATACACCCGGTTACTACCAGTTTGACTATAAAAGTTATTTATTGCTAAGTATATGAAATATATAATGGTACTAGTAGTAATAGACATGCAAAGGAAAACAATCAAAACAAGTACAATACTACCCTGGTTTCACTAAGTCTTTGGGGAAACTTAGTTCAAGCTTAACTAATACAGTTCAGGTTCAGAAATCTATGCCTAGAGAGAGCGAGAGCTGGGGTCTCACCAGTCCAAGGCACTCGGGTTCCAATGCTGACAGGTAAAGTTCTTAGCACAATCCTTGAAGGGAGATAATCTGTTCTTTCCAGCTTCTCGGGAACAACAGCGGATGGTGTCAGAGATTTCTTCTCTTGAAGCACACTTGCTTGCTGATTTTACAGATTTTTATACCCTCAGTTCAGCTTCTTCAAAGCATTCTTTTAATAGTGTAAATAATTGTCTTTTCTATTGACAAGGGGTTATCTGGTTTGGAACACCTCAGGGAACTGATCAATAACCAGGAAAAACATTAAGGAGTAACCAGACACTTGGGAGCCAGCTTGAAATTCTTATGCATAGCAGATATACTGGATGGGATACCTCATTATTTCTTCAGAAACAATAGATAGCTTGCAGCATCACGGTTTTGTATTTTTACCTGTTGTGAATAAGCGTCAGTTTAGCATGACTTTTCCAGATCTTAGTGTTCATAAACTTTGTGGGGAGGACTTCCATAAGTCATCCCAGAAAAAGTATGACAGCATTTGTGGTCAGGGCTCCAACGGGCTGGATGGTGTGATGAACACTTTACCATTGTTCAAATGTTGCCCATACCCCCTCTGAATCAGTCTCTTGCCTCAGCATTCCCTAACCCGGCAACCGAGTTTTAGTCAATCAAGTTTTAAATGGGCCTCCCATAGTGGGACCGGGGAATGTACGACCCGAGATGCCCATTCTACTTTACTTCTGGTGTGTGTGTGTGTGTGTGTGGTGGTGGGGAAAAAGTCCTTTGTAAATCCAGATTAGAATTGGTCTGATAAATGCTGAGCTGGGTGTGTGTAAATGTGGGTTGATTAGTATATTTGGAGCACAGATTCCTCCTCATGCAATGCTCCCCTGCTTTTCTGATCCCAGAATTCAGTGCGGTCTTTGCTTCGGGCTTTCTGTTCTCCATCTCCCATGTAAATGAATTGTCATCTGGTTCCATCTCGGATGCAAATGAGACCAGGGGAGTTGCTCCCTTATCTGGAAGGCTTTAGGTGTGTCTCCCACTGCATCTTCATTGTCCTTTGTAATCAGTTCTTCTTCGGGCAGAGGTGGGGGCAGGGGGGGAAATTCTTTGTGAGTCAGACAGGCTGCGTCCTGTGTCAGGGTTCCCCAAGAACACGGAGCTGAGAGGTAACATCTCCCTCCAGCCTTAACGGCCCAGTGGGTGAGACCCAGCATGGCAGGACAGAGCAGGGCTAGGCAGGGAAGCTTGGTGCCATGGCAAGACGCCCTCTGCCTGCCCAGCAGCAATGAGGGGCACAACTCTGTACTGCCATCCCCACTGCTGTTGGGTGGGCAGGGAAGTTCAGTGCTGCCACTTACTAGCCATGGTAGTGTGGGGCTTGCAGTGGCAGCACTGAACTTCCCCACCTTGCTCTGCCACACTGGGTCCTGCCCACTGGGCTGCAGAGGACCCAGGGGAAGGGCAGCAGGACAGGGAGCCCAAGCCTGCAGAACATAGCCTGCCCCCACCCCACACACACATCTGGGGGGCACATGCCCCACAATGCCCCCCTGCCAGGAGCACATAAAAGAAGTGGGGAGCCAGCACCCCCCCTGGCCCTCAGTGATTGCCCATGGCTCCGCCCTGTTCCCTGCCCAGGCCCTGCAGCCACACATTCTGGCCCAGGACCACATAACCCACGCACTGCCCAACTCCCTCCCTCGTATAGGGGCCTC